TTTCGAATAGCAGGCCTAGGGAGAAAATCAAAGTTTCGCTGGAAAGTAGAAAGCTTCATGCTTCCGGCACAGTTCTTTTTTTACGAAAGGCCGTGTATGAAGCTTGCCATGGATGTCCAAAGCGTAGCGACTTGTGGTTGGCCCCCATGATCACAAGAGGATCACAACGGAGAAAAATTCCTAGAAAAGAAATGTTTTGAAATCGCTCAAACTCAGGTAACAAGAGCCAACCTAGCTCCACTCATTCCCACTTTCCCTCTCCGAGAGCTTTACTTTCAACGAAGTTATGGGTGTTCAAAAGAGGGGTACTTTTCGAGTGTTTGGCTTGAAATTGGCTCCAGGTCGTAAAATAGCGCGCACCAATGCGCTTGTATTAGCGTGGGAATTGCACTCCTCGCGTGCGGCTGACCGCGAACAACTAGCATGCATTGCCTACGATTATGATGATTTACTTCATCTCTCTTGTTCATCTTCATCTCTTGTCTGGCCCTCGTCATCATCTTCGGCTTTTGTTTGCAACACCTGAATCTGGTTTTAGTCGTCGTCGTCCCACTCGTAAGTTTAAAGTATTTCTATGGCTTTGGAGCCGGAATCGCGCCGAACTGAAGGAATTACACGCGATTTTGTTGATTTGTGTTTCCTTAACTTTTTCATTTTTGTTTTATTTACATCTGCATTCGTTGTTCTTCATTTCTAGCCTTTGTCATCTTCATCACCCTCTATTCGGACTTTGAAGCATGAGCAACACCTCAAATGTTATTCGCATCAGGAAATTGCGTTTTGCTTGTATTAAACTAACGTGGGACGCTTAGGCCGTTTTTATTGTCATGTTCTGTGGGAATGCGCGGCCTCTGAGGGATATTGCAGCAGCACAGTTGCTCTTGAGTTCTGGCCCTCGTCATCATCTTCGGCTTTTGTTTTGCAGCACCTAAAATGTTATCAGCATCAGGAAATTGCGTTTTAGAGTCCGGCATTTTTTCCAGGTTTAGGTTTAGGCGACAGTTGTTTGAACTGTTGTTAAGCCGCTCACTCTTTTCTGGGGTTCCTTCCAAACTTCTATTAGCTTTTACAACCCCCTCCCTTCCATCGGGGCAAATACGACCCCCCTCCCCCCCCCCCGTTGTGATGATCACAACGATGGCGTGCCGTGCACATGAAGCAGCGTACAGACTTCGCGACGGCAGCGCTTCGGTCGCGAGTTCGACGTTCAATGCGCGTCCAACGAACGAATGCGAATTCTACTGCATCGATCGCGTCGAACGCACGATCGAAGCGCTGCCGTCGCGAAGTCTGAACGCTGTCCAAGGGAAGGAGCAGGCGTCAAGTCAGCCGGCGAGCCAGTCAGTCAGCGAGCCGACAGGTTCATATGATAACACTTTACCTGTTTTTATCTGGGATTTCAGGTCCATATCAGTGTAATCGTCACTGAAAGGAGGATAGCCGCAAATACCAGTGAACAAAACAACACCAAGACTCCACCTGACAAAAAATCTTGTAGATAATTACTACGATATCTTCAGAACTTTCCTGTCCTGATGCAAAATTCATGATACTTGAATTAATTTACGTACGAAATGCTTGAATTATTCAACGTACATGTCCACTTTCGGATTGTATGGCAGTCGGTCGCTATCGATCATCTCAGGAGCCATGTATGCCGGCGTTCCGCAATATGTTTTCAACGTCGATGCTTGGTTTCCTTTTGCAAGTCCGAAATCAGCCAGCTAGAAAAGTACATCTATTTTTCGAGTAAGAACTGTACGTACTTTTTGAAGAAAGAACTGTGCCAAGAAAGATCTTTTTCAGCGATAGTACCACTGAACTCTTCCCTCGCTTTCTTATTCTCATAATTTGAGGGAGGACTATGGTCTTCCTGAGTGGGAAGTAGGTGGTAAACCAAAAGCAGACCAAGACAAAGACACTACGACATCAGGCGCGAACTCGCTGAGGCTGTTCTTGCACGTCTCTTCATTTATAGCAATGTCTTTCATGAAGATTCCCAACGGACAGCCGTGATCACTAGAGAGTAGAGGTCGTATTCGGCTCGATGGGACTTTTTCCGTCTTCCGCACACTCTACACCCCTTTTTTGACGATAGCGCCGCAAAACCGCTATGTGAGGAATTATGTGAAGTTAAAATATAGTCCCTGAAAACAGCTTTTGCTCTTTTCCCCATGTTTTTAGTAACGAGCCCTAATTGAAGTGTCACAGTATAGTCGACTCACTATGTATACACTGCGAAGCATAATCATAGTTCCACCCATGAATCTCACAAAATCCCTGTCTTACACGAAGTTTTCCAAAATGCCCCCATACAAAAAATGTGGTAATTACCAACACAAACACTAACTTGAAAAAACAATTTTTTTCGTCAATTTTTTCAAAAATGGTCGTTCTGACAACGCAGCAAAAGTATAGTTCCACCGAACAAATCGAATATTCCAACAACAAGTGTACAATAAAATGAATAAATTTTGATCCAGTAATCTATTGGAACTCTATTTCTCCAATTAAGTTGGAAAATACGGTTGCCCATGTTCGATTAGAGATTTTAATAGGCTTTCGGCCGACTGCCCCAATGATTAACTCCCTAAGCTCACGGACATTGTGGAATTGTGCATTACTCTCATGGATCACGCACCATGAAGCCCCTCACATCCTCGATTGGGTTTTAGTCGGGGCTACTCGCTGGCCAGGGCAAAAGAGCGGTTTGGTGACAACTGAATCACGCTCGACTGTCATGAACTGGTGCATTATCCTGCATGAAAACGGGACTTTCTTGCTGATTTCTACGCCAGAAAGTAAGGAGACGTTGTCGCATGACTTTTAGATGACGGAAGAAATCATTTTTTTTCATACGGAGCGCAGTTTCAGACGTTCCATTCATGCGATGGCAGCCCAGACCATGAGACCACATCCACTGAAGTTCCGCCCGGAAAAATGAAACTTGTCTTTCCTCAGGTCGTGCCAGCGGAATCGGTTTTCGTCGGAGCCGTCGCAGTTGAATTTTTCTCATCAGAAAACACGACCGCGAGAAAAAAACTGAAAAAAAACACTACAGACAAGCAGTAGGGCACCGCAAAAGCCAACCTCACTCCATTGGGTTCGGCAACATCTTCGAGCAAAGCCAATTAGGTTTTCGCGATGGTTTTTCGTTAGAAACAGTACGTAACTCATATTCCCTCCTATGGGTGAACTCGGGAGTTTTTTTCAAGAGACGCCTAAACAGTATCCTCCGAGGGAGACATTAAACGCTGGCGAAGATGCCTTGATTTCCCGACACGACATTGCAGAGTTGGATGCTTTCCTGAGGATACGGCGGTTGCTCCGATCGGGCAGCAAAGGAGGATGTCCAGAGTTCTCCTCAACTCAATATGCTTGTAGATCCCTTGGAAAAAATTGTTGATAGAATGATGAGTGCGGCCCCAATGCGCGCGAATGTCGAGCGATTTAACAGTTGTTTCTGAGACAGACTTATTTGTGATAATCTGTCCCTTTTCGAGGTCCATTAATGAACTTTTACTTGCCGTAGACTAGAAAAAGGCAAGAAGTCATAATGATGAGAAGTTTCACCGAACAAAAATGAGATGCAGCCGGAAAATATGCGGTGGAACTATACTTTTGCTGCGTTGTCAGAACGACCATTTTTGAAAAAAATTGACGAAAAAAAATTGTTTTTTCAAGCTAGAGTTCGGTGTTGGCATGTGAATTGGTATTGGTAATTACACATTTTTGTATAGGGGCATTTTTGAAAACGTCGCGTAAGACGGGATTTTGTGAGATTCATGGGTGGAACTATGATTATGCTTCGCAGTGTACAGGGGGGGGGCAAAAAAAGTCATTTCGACCG